ATCACCGTCAGGGTGGCTAGGAAATCGTCGATTATTTAGGCGTTTAATTAGATTACTCAAGTAATCATAATTTCAGAAAGCGCTCCTGAAGCCTTTCCTGACGGCTGCGATCATTTTCGAAGAAATTGGTCCACGTGCGAAGATTTCTATTTATCGCCAAATCCCACCCCAGTGCTATTACTTGACCAATCTCAAGGACGTTCAAGGGATTGCTGAAGGCAGACCACCTACCAAGGTAAGTTTTGCGCTCTTGTTTAGAAGTTCCCGGAAACAGTGGTCTTTTCAGTCTTCAGAGAAAAATCCGGAAGAAGCCATCAGGAACGAGATTAAACTAAAGGAGCAGCAGCGAAAACAGAAGAAAGCCGAACTCGAGCGCCTATTTATGATGGATGCTAAGCAAGGTACGACTGTACCTCTTCTCGAGACCGTATTAGGAGCTCGTGGTTGAGGCGATTGCAGCAAACTGGCACCTGTCATTTGCTAGTCAATACATACAGTAGCGGTCAAAAGTGTTCGCCGAAACGATTTTTAGTGCATTTTTTTTCGCTTGAGCAACGCCCTCCAAAGATTGATATACTATTTTCTAGTGTTTTATATCCTCAAGTCTTAAAGAATCAGGATATTCAAAAGAAAAAATTTCGAGGCCACCATTGATTTTTTCTGGCAAAAAAAAAAGAGAAGCACGGAAAACCGTTTCGGCGAACACTTTTGACCGCTACTGTACCTAACGATAAGGCCGATGTCAGACTTTGCGAATCGCGCGATTCGCTAGCGTCTGCGGTCGCGTCGCGGCCAGTGAATCACTCAATTGGCTGGTACCGCAACGCGACCGCGGACGCTAGCGAATCGCGCGATTCGCAAAGTCTGACATCGGCCTAACACTGATCGAAAGTCGCCCTATTCACAAATCTTGATTGTAGCCATGAACTAAAACTGAACCGCTGTAGCGCAGATGTCACCTGAGTCAATTTGGTAGATTTTAATTTGCGGATGAGGCAGGCGATATTCAGCCCTAGCGAGGCAGCGCAACCGCCCACACCACTGCTCGCACAACCAGTTGGTCTTGTTTGAAGATTGTTTGTGCTCTGAATTGATTTCAGAGCATGCCCGAGTAAAATCCTATAGGATGCTGAGAAAGTCCATGCCACCAATATTCCTTTTTTCAGGAATCTAGAAGCAGATTGAACTCCTCGACTCTATTCTCGACCATAGACCTCTTTTCTTACTCTACAACAATTTCGCTTATTAGTTCTAATCGAAGTCTGTGACTTTTACCGTGCATGTATAATCTCAAGTTTTACGCTGAATTTCAATATAACACCTTTTTCACTATTGATCACTTGAAAAACAACTAATGGTAAGCTCATATCTTCTCTGTGATAATGATATTGTGTAATGTCCTGATAATGATATTGTGTAATATATCAAATTTTAGATGACAATAAATCATAATTACCATTTTCCGCTGGTTTACAGTAGAGAACGCTTGCCTGACGAATACAGTACAGCTACAGTGTTTGGGAATGAGTGCATGTGTGCGTTATCAAGCAACTGACTTGAACAATCAATCCACTGCGCTTGCGATGGATTTGAAGCCAAGTAGCATGATACCACGCGACATGTTGTTAGCGCGATGTTTATACTTCGCAGCGGCTACAGCCATTTGAGATAGGTTGGATCTGCAAAAATGGATAGCATAGAGCAGAATATGCGGACGCCAGGAGTACCACCTTTCGAGTAAGCTTACCGACCTCTACTCGTTCTCACGAGGACCATTCATGGCACCAAATCCTTCTTGACGCTGTTCCAGAACCTCTAGGACCTTTCAAAAGTGTCCCATTCTTAACGGTAGGCACTGAAATGCGTGCTTTTTGTAACACTCAGAAGAATTGGCCACAGCTCGACCATATCAACCCTATCCATAGCCAGACCGGCATCCAGTTCGATACTTATGAGGCACCTCACCCTAGGGCTGTCACCTGTCACAGCGCCAGCCAAAAAAGCTGATAGTCACATCAATGAAATAATTTATTAAACATTTACATCATTAGATATATTAATATGTACAACCTACTAGCCCTTTAACATGAGACAAGACTGAATGAATACAAAGTTGAATGAGATTCGATTGATCAGATCAGATCCTTAATGCTTGTTTAGAGATTACGGGCATTGGCATGCATATACAAATCTTACTCAAAATAAATATTCTAAATAGAAATCCAGCGCTATAATCCAATCGACACGAGGGTACCGCTATGCGAATTGGGAAAACCGTGGGGAAACGCTCGAAACATTGGCACAAACTAGCAAAGCAGTTAATAATTGAGCATGAGTTATTAAGCACATATTCGACAAATCTAGCGACAGAAATTACGATCAACCACCTTTTTACAAGGTCTTGCATTTCACATCGCAACACCAGATAAATCGACACTGGCATGGCTCATCTATCACTTCCCTGACCGTGTGCCAGCCTGAAAATCAGGGTTTGAAAGGAAGGATTTTTGGCGATTAGAAATCGATTATCCATAAAAGGAGAATGAAAAAGCAACGATTAAATATAGCAATATGCCATGCCGCAACTAACCTCGGCCACAACAAATCTCGTCACAATTGTTCCCGCAATGACGACCTCGAGTATCCACTGAGCAGTAATCAGGTGAGGAATCCAGATAGACTAACTCGCCTTTCGCCGCCTGAAAAATCATTCATTCATCTTCTAGCTTTATTCAAGCTACGGAGAGATAAACAAAAAATTGCCCTTTCACGCTATACCTTATGCTTATCCCCCTTATCCTTCAGATAGCGCTCCGTGCGTTTTCCGTCCAATACCGGCTCGCGCACCATTAACGTAGTACCATGTGGAGCAACAGTAACTTGTTGAGCCATTTCGTACTTGTGCATCAATAGCTGCGAAAATTCGTCGAACCTAAATGACAGGTATAACAAAAGGCTAGTAATAACAACAATAAATACAATGTCTGAAAAAGATGACTACAGTCGATATCCCAGAGTTGGGGTAGGCGTGTCACCGGCAGCAGCCGCACTTGATAGAATGTCGTGGATAAGCTGCTTCCAACATACATCGCTGGATATCAGCAAAGCATGCTGGCAACAGCTTATCCACGCAACTTCTATCAAGTGCACGTCACTTCCGGTGACACGCCTACCCCAACTCTCAGATATGGACTGTAGATGAGGCCCCTCGGGATACGCCATGTTGTCGGTTTCGGCTTGGAATTGTATGGAGAATCATGCGTGCTGAGTCATCTAAAGCTCGATGAGCGGAACTCACAACGAGAAACTTTTTTCGTCAGGCAAATTTGTTACCTTGGCCCTGGCTGGCCTGCGCGACCCAATCAAAAATCTAACCCCTCAGAACGTCAGCGTAAGTAAGTGGCGCCATACTTCATTATACCACATCCGTTTTCCATTTTTTAGCGAGTCATTGTTTAAAAATGTTCTTGACAAGCCTAAATTCAAAAAAACCCCGATCATGTTATTGATCAATTCCGAAAAAAATCATGAGATGAAACCAACCTTGGCACCACCTTCCAGCAAGTCTTCGTCACACAGCTGCCACTCACTCCATGGCATTTACACTCTTTTCCCATTCGGCTGGCGAGAAGGCGACGTCCTACTCGATTGTTGTGCAGATT